AATAAATACAACTGAAATACTTCTTAACTCATTCTACGAGGCACGTATTATCTTAAAATCTTTACAATAATTTTAGTCAGAGAAACTTCGATAAACCTATCTTCATTCACAGAATGCATGATCATATATTGAGAAATTCCAAAGGTTCTATAACAGGTACAGAAAAAAAGCTTTTAAAATTAACAAACAAGTTTGACAAGCTTGCAGACTATAAAACTGCTACACAAAAACAGTGGTGCATCTATACCTTAGCTAGGATTCTTTAAAAATTTGAACAGCTCATTCAATATACTTCTAAAAGAATAAAATACTGAAAAATAAATTTGTCCAGGAAAAGACAAGTTTTGTAAATCGAAAACCACAAAACATTGATGAAATAAGTTACAGAAGGTATTTTTAGTAGTAAATGAAATGATAGATAATTTTCATTGATTGGAAACCTTTAGCAGTTAAGAAGCAAAAAATCATTCCAATTTATCTATAGAGTTTAACAACCTGATCAAATGCCACATGACAATTTTTAGAAGAAATAAAATATGCAACACTAATATTCCCATGAAATATGAAAAGGCCCTCAAAAAAATGAACAAGCAAAAGTAAAACAAAAACACTTTAACTTGGAGAGATCACATTTTCTAATTTTAAAACTTAGTACCAGGCACAGTAGGAAAAAAAACTGTTGTTGACAAAATGTAAACAAAACCTTAAGTAAATGCAATTCAATGTAAAAAGAAAACAAACTTACTTCTATAATACATTTTTTGACAAGGATGGAATAATGTAGGAACAGCATGCACTGCTCTGACCAGTGGATGCGTAAATATAAAAGAGAAATGCTGGACTCCTCACTGAAGTACAGGCAAAACTGGCTCTAAATGTTGTTACAGGCAAAACCAAAAAAGTCTAAGAGGAAAATAAGATAAATTCCTCATAAACTTGGATTTGGGCATGGCTTGGGAACCTACTTTTTGGTTAAAAACCACGGATGACTTTGTGCCCTGAGCAGTCTTATTAGGCAGTTATTGTAGGCAAACTTTAGACTTTGAACAGCAGGCCTCTCACACCAAGGCTTGGGCACAGTCAATGCAGTGTAATATCTGAACCTGGCTGCTTTTAAGGACTGGTGCTCCCTGCCTCCTTCCTTTCTTCCTTTTCTCTATACTGTTGGATGCCACTTCTTCCCAGTGTGATGTTCCTCCTTTGGAACACCTAAAATGGTCTAAAAGCACTGAAACTGTGAGCCAGAATACATCTCTCCTTTTTTAAACTGTGAGGGCTAAATATTTTGCTCTATTTAGAGAACCCTTACTAATAAAATTGGTTCTGAGAGAGACTCTTAGTAGATCTGTGCATGCGGTTATGAAGACTTTGGAACTTAACTTGTGGTATGAGATGTGAGATGTTTAGAGAAACAAGTTAGAGAAAGCACTGAATGCTGAAAGCAGAGCTCAATCAATAGCTATGATCAGGGCTCAGAAAATGAGATGCCAGGAGGAATGTGCAGAGTAAGGTCAGCCTGATGAGATTTCAGTTGGCAAATAGTATTTATGGGAGTCAGTACCAAAAATAAGTAAGTGAAGTGTTTTGCATATAAGCTATAGATGTGATCTGTCCTGCAGGGACAGCTGAGGACTCTGCAGACAGAATATGGTGGGACTTGGAGACAGGACATAGCTTTATAGGTGGAGGATGTAGGCTCTCTTTCTGTGCTGTTCCCAAGAGTATCCAAGCCCATGAACTCAAGCCAAAAGGCCCAGTTCTCAGTGCTACCACCTCAAGTGTAACATGTACTTTACTCAAACTGTCTCTTGAACTTTTCTTAGAATACCTGTGTTCTATGTGTGTAACACAGAGCATCCTTTAATGAAAAGAGTGATTATCAGCCCTCTTTTCTTATCATAAGTCTTCTAGCACTATGTGACACGAGTCATAGATATTAGTCCCAAGGTTAATAATAGGGTAACCAAAGAAGTTTATTGGGAATTAGATTTTACAAAGCATTTCACATTACATTTTAGTAAAGAAGTTACCCCCATATTTTCCATGTCCTCAAAATTTGTGAAATGCTGTATTTTAAAGGTAGTTCAAGAAATTCTGTGGGAAAAAAACTCAAAGAAGCCCAAGGTTCATGCTGTGGAATGAGTGACATTGGCAGCTTTTTGTTATATTTATACTGAGAAGAGGGACAGAAGACAGAACAAAAAGTATGAAAATCTTGCAGTTAGGCCAGAAAGAATCATGTGTAAAGTTGCAGCCAAAGCAGATGTGTTTTTGAAAGAGATTATTGCCATTAAAAAGAAACATGAATGTTGAGCCAGTAAAAGAAGAAAGATATTGTCTTGCTTTCATTTCTCTTATTACTGAGGCAGAATACCTGATGACCTAAATGAAGGAAGGAAACATTTATTTAGCTCAGTTTGTGAAGATTTCAGTCTATAATCAGCTGGCTGAAACACAGGGTGGGGAGGTAGATGGGCAACTGTTCGTGGTGGGGAAAGACTGCAAAAGCAACAAAAGGAAAGGAAGAGGAGAATGGAGAGAGACTTTTTCTGTTCTTTATATGGTATAAGCCTTGCATCTAGAGTAGATGAAGCACTCACATCCATAAGCCCACCATTGGATCATGAATCAATCACAGATTCGAAAGTCTGTCCCTTTAACTGCATGAGGCTTTGGAGGGTGTCCAGACACAAAACATAACCCTGATTTTGTAAGGATATAAGGAATCAGCAAGATTCCATCAACAGCGCCTTTAAAGCTAAATAGTTATTTGAGGAGAGAGCCTCTGATTGTCATGCTAAGGCAAGGCCTCCAAAGAAATTAGTTCCCAGAATTCCTTTTATAGCTGTAAGGGCACTCAGAAGTCAGATCTCCCATGATTCAAGGGAGCCTGACTATTGCTGAAGCTGGCAACAGACCATGGCCTTCTCCATAGATTGTTGGTTAATACACATGCAGAATTCAATTTTCAAGTTCAAGAAATTTCTATCAAGATTTCAAAGTTAGGACTGGAAGAGTAGGACAGGGCCACAGTTTCTATAAGAAGCCTGTGAGACATTGTCGTATGAAATTGTGAGAGTAAGCCAAAGCTGCAGGGGGGACCCAAGGAAGTTGGAGATGCTAAGGACATTAAAAAGCCTCTGAGGAAAGTTACAAACAGTGAGCAGAACAAGCTCAAAAGTGAAGATGTGTGCTGTGCAACCAGGAAAGCAGCAAGAAAGTGCTGTGCAAAGTCTCAATCTCACATCCTTACCACCTCCTATTGTAGCACATTTTATGGTTCTTTCTTTCTTTCTGTCTGTCTGACCTTTTTTTTTTTCCACAATAGGGTCTTTTTATGTATAGGTTAGTGTGACCTCACACATATAGGACTCCTGCTTGAGCCTCCTCATTCCTGCGGTAATACGCATGCATCACCACACCTGATTTAAGGAATATCTTGTTCTAAGTTACAAAGACAATGTGTAACCATTCTTTCATAGAATAATTTTATAACATGATCTATTTTTCATACTAAGATTTATATTTCTCAATTGTTAAATTTTTATACTTTCAATTTTCACAAGTATATTGTACATTTGAGGATGCAAAGCATGATGTTTTGTGTGTAAATCTTGGGCCAACTGAACAGACTATTTACAATGCATTATGTCAATGTGTATCATCAGTTGAGTTTTGTATTATGGATCAAGTAAAAGTCTAAATGGAACAGTTTTGCATAGCAAACTCAACTGACCATCTAAACATAATGAATTTTTTTATTAAATTCTAGTAGACTTTTTGTATTAAATAAAAACAAATATTTCACATCAGTAAATTTTTACTTATTTTATTGTTCTGTCATGTGTGTCCAGATATCAGCAAATGTCAAATAATGTGGTTATATTTCATATGTTGATATATTTTATTGGACATTCTTTAGATTCTTTCTTCTTCACTGTATGATTCTTGGTGTTATTGAACCTTGTTTTCAGCATAAATTTTATATCAGTGTTGTAATTTGAAATACTGTTGGAATTTTGGTTGTTACTATTTAAAATCTAAAAATGTTTAGATCTGACTTATGCACATTTATTTTGTTTAATCCACAGACAGTGTTATATTGACCTAATTATATTCTCTTTAATTACTTATTTAATTAAGTTTATTTAATGCACTGAAATTAAGAAAATTTCTAGACAAATCATTCCGTCAGTGTTTTACAGGGATTACTGGTAGTATAGCATGTCTTACTAATTTAAATTTCAGTTATTTGTGCTAGTACACAAAATAATTGACTTGTGTTGTAGAGATCTTGCAGAAATACCTATGAAAATTTCATATGAAGTTTTAGTTTGCATATTATTTGGGATTTTAATTTTAATTTTATTTATTTATTTATTTGGTACTGGGAATCAAGCTCATGATCTCAGGCTTGCCAGACAGGCTCTGCCACTGAGCTATATCCCCGACTGTTCAGGCTTTTTATATTCAAAATAATTTCTCTTGAAAAATAACAGCCTATAATTTTATTTCTACACCATAATCCAAGATATATGTACATATGTTTAGGCTAGGTGCGTAACACTTGAAGAGAAATCTGAGGTTACTCTTCATACAATGGAGGCAGTGTTACTAAATGACTTATTTCTTAATCTTTTATTATTTTCATCATAAATGCACAGCACAACAACAGTCACTGCCTTCCAGTAGATGTCAATACTTAGTACAATGTACATTGGGATCTAAACAGTGTGTAGTACACAAAGGAGAAATGTATTATCAAGAGTCAAGCTTGTGTTTGACAAACGAGGGTCTAACAGGAGATGAGTAGCTATAGGCTTCTCTTTAGTTGCAAAGTAAAGATTTGGCAATGTGAGAATAGTTACTCAGACCCAGGCACTTTACACAAAATGTGAAGACGAATCAAAGTGAAGACCAAAAGAACAACTGATATTTAAACAACCATACCTTGAGTAAGATTTCCTATTCTAGTTTTGCATAGTTCCTGTTCAGTTTTGCTATGTATAATTGCTATATATAATCCATCCAGATTTTGCATACATAGATACCATAGTGAACTTTACAGACAAAGTTTGCATGGATTGCTCCATATCCTGCTGAGGGCACTTTTTACCTCTTTGTTCCTCAAACTGTAGATCAAGGGATTCAGCATGGGAATGACCAGGGTGTAAAATACAGAGGCCAATTGATCAGTCTCAAAGGAATGGCTGGATTTGGGCTGCACGTACATAAAGAACAAGGTCCCATACAATATGACCACCACGGTCAGATGAGATCCACATGTGGAGAAGGCCTTTTGTCTCCCATCGGCTGCATTCATGCTGAGGATGGCCACAAGGATCCGAATGTAAGAAACAAGAACTGTCAGAAGTGAGGAAACCAAATTAAATGCTGAAAAAATCAGAACTATCCACTCAATTTCTTGTGTGCTTGAGCAAATCAAATTCAACAAGGGAAGACTGTCACAGTAGAAATGGCTAATGACATTATTACCACAAAAGGATGAAAGGAAAATTTTTATGGTTGTTATCAGAGAAAGAAAGGCACTGTAAAAATAAGGGATTGTCACTAGGGCCCAGCATGCCTTGTGTGACATGATCACTGTATAGAGGAGAGGGTTGCAAATGGCCACGTAGCGGTCATAGGCCATGGCTGACAGGATGAAAAGCTCACTGATGATGAACATGATGAAGAACGCTAGCTGTGTGGCACACCAGTGGTAGGGAATTGTATTTTGATTAGTGATAAGATTTGTTAACATTTTGGGTCCTACAGCAGTTGAGTAACCAAGATCAATGAAAGCCAGATGTCTGAGAAAAAAGTACATGGGTGTTTGCAGTCTGTTGTCCACTTTGGTGAGGATGATCATGCCCAAATTGCCCACCACTGAGGTTATGTAGATGATGAGGAACAGCCCAAAGAAAGGGACCCGAAGTTCAGGGTGTCCTTCGATGCCAGTGAGAATGAACTCCTTAAGCACTGTCAGATTTCTTCTGTCCATCCAGGCCTCTGAGGATACTTACTGTGGGAAGAAGCATTAAAAAACCATTGGATTCCAGGAAGCATTGCCAACTACAATCTTATCATTGATGTCTTTTTATGTAAGAGAAACCCACCTTTTTTGACCTGAAGAATTAAAAATGATTCGTTTCTGCCATCAAATACAGAACCAAATCTGGACACAGGGTAAACAGCTAAAAATAGGACATATAATGAGCATTTTATTTTTCTGTTATTTAGTGATTATTAGTACATGGTATGTAGGATTCCCTGTGATTCTGTCAGTAGTATAACGATAATTCTAATTTTTTCAGAAACAATTTCACTAAAAATTTAGATGATTTTTTCAATTATATCAGTTTCTCAAAGGACTTTAAAGGAAGATAACAATTCCTTCTTTCTGACTCTTGAAATTTCAGCTTCACTACTCAAAGAAAATCATTGTTATGTCAACTTGAAGGAGACGGAAAGTAAAAATGAACAAGATCTTGCAGATAGGATATACATATGAGTCAATTCTCCAAGGTAAATATAACTATTATACCTTATAAACATATGCTTAAACAATAAAACAACAACAAAAGATTTTCTTTAACTTCTCCATCTTGTACATCTTATGTGGCATCATATCCTTTTCTCCTAATCCCTTTCGTCTTCATAAACTGCATTTTGCTCCACTATTTTTAATATATTTAAACATAGTCAACATTATTTTATAATAAAAGGGAATAAATTAGCTTGATTACAACAGAACAATGTCAACCCTGACATTCTACAAAACACACACACAAAATCACATAACATATTCATTTTCTGTAGACCAGTAAATCCAAGGTTTGACAATTGAGTGGAATCTTTATGATTTTTCTGTGCTGAATATGAACTAATTTCTTTTTTCATAATTCATTCAATCTGATATTAATGGCTAGAATTCATCCACACATTTGCTTTGACACTAGCAGAGAGAGCATTCCAATGATGTGTTTTATGTTGCAACTATACTTTTTTCACTCAACTTTAAGATAAGTAAACTTTAAGAAAATGTTAAGATATTTTGGTATAAGTGAAAATAAGATATAAATTTATTTGAAAACTTGTCACTTAAACTTGGAAGTTAAAATGATCCACATTGAGAAATATCCTAAAGTTGCAATTGCTATTTTCAATGTCTTCTTGGTAGGCAAACAGTACCATTTAATGAAGCATATGAAAAAAAAAGCAAATTTCGTAGAAAGCTGGAAGAACTAGATACTTTATGCCTAATCTGAAGTATTTAACTTTATTTGCTTAAATGTGTTGCTCAAGACAATTAATTATTTCATCTAGAAAAATAAGAGATACCTTTGATATGAAATACATTTAATATAATTGAATTTTGAAGAATATTAGAAATTTTCCATAAAATATATTTCAGAGATTTTGAGAACACATCATAATTTAAAGGTTGCACTGCATACTTCCTTGCTGTTTATACTTCACAATCCTTTAAAAACAGCTGCTTCCAAATATTCATGAAAACCATCATCTGTGCACTACAAGGACTCCTCCAGATAATTAAAAATTGAGAACTCCAGTGCTTTACATTCTAGGAGTCCAGAGGAACCTGGACTGTAAAAAATGTTACATGATAATCCCAAGAAGCTCAGAACTTTGCTCTTCCTTATGGAGATATAAATCCTACCTAAAAAATATTAAAAATCATATGCTTCATTCAACTTGGAATAATCTTAGGTTTAGGTAAAGAATTTGCTTGTTGAATATCTAGCAGTTAAACTCATCTTGCGAATCACATAAAATTTGTTAGAATAATAAGTATTTGAATAGATATTAAATAATGGCACTAAGAATGCCCAAAACCAATATAAGTTTGATTTAGATGGATCGTTACATATTGATAAAATGCGTTGAACAAACTGGACTGAAATATTCTTCAAAGTATGAACCAGGGACTGATGACTTAGCTTGGGCTGGGGATTTAGCTCAGTGGCATAAGTGCCTATTTGGCAAGCTCAAACTGGTGAGTTCAATCCCTGGTTCCGCAAAAAAAAAAAAAAAAAAAAAGTATGAACCAATAGTTTATCCAAATTTTCTTATTAATCTTAAATAAATTGATAGGGATAAAATATTTCTAGACTGTTCAATCCACTATTGTAAAATTTCTGATGCTTTTTTTTTTACTGAGACATGAAACTTGCTCATGTTTATGCTGCATGTTATGAGAAAGTGATATGTGATGCAATTTGTGATGATCACATCATGGAAATAAGCATTTGCATCTCCTCAAACATTAATCTGTATATTGAGAATTTCATTCTCTAGCTTTCTAGGTATTTTGTAATATATCATATATTGTTGCAACTAGTAGTGTTATAAAAAGTCATAACTCTTTCCTATGTGAAGATATTAGCTATTTTATTTCTATCTTTTATCTCCTTGTCAATAATGATCATTATTACACTCTGCCATTCCACAAAATTATTTTTTAAAAATTTTCCACCAGTGTGGGAAGATATATGACATTTTCTTTGTGTGTGTGTGTGTGTGTGTGTGTGTGTGTGTGTATGTGTGTGTGTGCATATTTTATTTTACTCAAAAAACCACTGCTGATTCTATTGATATTGGTGAATGTGACATTTGTCTGTGTTGGATATTTCACTAACATAATAATTTCGAGTGCCATTCATGTTTCTATAAGTAATTTTTTACCAAATAGATGTATTTTCTCCATGTCTTCCCAGCTGGAATCTTACTAGAATATTTTTGGGGAATTTGGCAAGGTTTCAAATGGATATACAGAAAATATAAATAATTTAAACATTCGGGGCACCCCTAGAAATGATCTGTGCTACTAAATTTTTAAGAATTCTAAGGCTATAATTCTCCAGAATGTGAATTTATTGCAAATGTATCAGTGGAATTGAACAGGAAAATGAGAAATAAGAATATATGTTTTATGGAACAGTTGTACCTGACAGAAGTGCTATTGATGCTGTGCAGGTTTATTTAATTCATAGAATTGGAGATAGAAATAATTGCTATAGAAATTGGTGACATTGAATGTTCAGTAAATATACTTAAAAATCAATTGATCATATATTAAAAATTTAACAGCAAGAGAATAATAATAAAATATAGTAATAATAGAAAATAATAATAAAACTGTAATTTTAACTGGCACATCTGCCTGTCCTTAAATTTAAAAAATGAAGAAAATCAGAATATAAATTCTAGACGTTTTACAGTGTATTTACTGATAAAATTCACTTTATCCAAAAATTAATTCATAATATTAATAAAATGTGAAAAAATAAAAAGGAAAACAAAACAAATGAACAAAAACAGTAACAGTGACTGACTGAAGAAAATGGTAAATCCAAAGAAAAGAATTCTTGCTGGGTGTGGTGGTTCACACCTGTAATCCCAGGATTTGAGAGGCTGAGGCAAGAGGATTGCTGTGAATTTGAAGTCAGCCTGGGATATATAAGCAGATTCAAGGCGAGTCTGCACTATATAGTGAGACTATGTCTCAAAAGAAAAAAAAAAAAAATAGAATTCTGCCGAGAAGTTTGGGTAGTTTGGTAAAAGCTTTCTTCTCCAAATGCACTGCACTACAATTTTGCATCTCACTTGCATTTTCCTGAAACTCAGCTCAGTCAGTGTCTTATTTTCCTTCCTTTTCTTCCAACCTCCTCTCCACACTCTGCACTGCGTGGAGAAAACCATGGAACCTCAACCACAATTGTACCCTTCCCCGGGGCAGCACAAAATCCACAGCAAACACCAAGAATTGGGCAACAGATCACAATCTCATGAATGCTTGGGGTGGGAAATAACTCATCTCATTCAGGTTATTTTATAAAAAATTGTTAAATATCTGGAATGGAGATAAAGGAGCTGGTCAATTTGAGATCATCAGTCTCCAACTCAAAAAAGACTGGGAAAAATGAGAGACAGGACAAAGGAAAGAAAAACCAAGAATAGCTCCAAATTAAAGATTCTAATGGGTGGAAAGCTTCACTAGACTTTCAGTGAATAAGCATCATTGTCTGCTTACCTACTCTGACTATCTAAATACTCTAGAATGGAGGTATGAACACCCAGATTTCTGTCATGCAGGTCACCTAAAAATCTTACGAGGACTGTGTTTCCATTTCTTACTATGAAAAAGTATGTTACATTGTTCAATAAAAAAATACTAATAGTAATAAAAAGTAGAATCTGTGAGTGTTATAAAAGCAGTTTAAATCATTCCTATATTCAACTTTTGAAATTGTGCTGCTAGGCAAATTCCAAAATTTGATGACTTCCAAAAAACGTGACTTCAGCATTATCCCTAAGATCACTGAAGTTCAAAGTCAATTCTCAAATTCTTTTTATGTGGCTTATAACCACTGTTGTAGATTTTTTTATGTTTATATGAAGATTTTTCACTTTTTAATAGTATATGTCTAGTAATATAACTTGTTCCTATTATAGAAATACTTAGGATATTTTCTTGAATTTTCTTCCTTAAATATTTTTTTATCATCCATATTAACTTCTAATAATCACAGATAACTAAGCCATTATGCAAGATTCGGCAGAATTGGGACAAATTTAGGGACAGATTTACATGGCTTTCTTATACCTGTGCCGTGTTACAGCCAACCATGGACAGGTAGGAACAACTTCTTGTGTGTTTATTTTTCCTATCCTCCAAATATACTTTTCAATATTGACTTTGGCTATGGCCAGTTTATAAAGTTAAGTACATATCAAATCAGGATGATGATTACTTTTATTAATATTGAATTATTAATATTAAGCACAATATAAATGAGGAATTGGAATACCCCAGCAGAGAGTCAGTAGGCATTAAATACTGTGCTTCATTACAAAAGGGAAGATAACCAGGAGAGATGGAGGGCAGGAGGGGCAGGAAGAGAACTGAGATGTGTGATGTCCATGTATCAACTCCCCATGATGAATGCAACCATTATGTACTGCAAACTTGGACTAATA